AAAAATTTTAACATTGGAGACAAGCAAAGAAGGATAATATAGGACAGACTACTAAAAAATGGAAGAAAAATATCTCCGACACTGGAGCTACATATATAAAAAAGAAGTCAGCTATTATTCAGAAATCCACAAAAAGAAATTCATGAATGACAGATAAAGAATCAATTTTAGCTGAGATAATAGAATGTATCATTATTTTTAAACAAAAAAGTCCTAAATACTAGAAGATGTCATGAAATACGATCTGGATATTGGTACAACTTCTTCTACTAACATCAGTAAAAAACTGTCACATAAGATCATTTTTAAATGAGAGATGATAGCTGCCTTCTACGAAGAGAACCTTCATATAATATAAGAACTTTTAAGGCTTTGGAAATAATCCTAGACAAAAATGTCATCGAGAAAACTACGTATGTCATACAATCAATGCACAAATAGACAGCTATTGGATAAATGTAAGAGTTAGCCTTTCTCGACATTAGATGCTGTTTTGTATGATTAGGTGAATCGATGACCATGAAGGGATAAAATGAATGTAATGTTATGAACAGTGTCGAGTTGATTCAATGAATTGTTATTGATTTAAAGGCGTCAACTCCATTGACAGCCAGAGATAGGCAATGACAAAAAAAAGCTCTTGATGATATGTCAACAAAATCTACAAAAATTGTTGCTCACTGTACAGACACGAGTGAAAGAAGAAAAGAGAACCTTGATGACAACAATAATAAAAATTACTTTTTTGTGTGCTTTTGTTTCTGTAGCTCATTCGTTGTTAATGTACTTTTCGTTGTTGATCTTTTTTGTTTGTTTCAATTGTTTTTTCAGAAGCAATGCAAGAGAATCTTGAAATCAGCGTTACGGTCAATATCTTTTTTATTTGCAGAAGAAAATTCTGTAATTGTGCAAAGTCATGTGATATGCGCTATTGTAATACTGTTGTATATTTACAAATTTTGAATAAAGAAATAAAGATTCGTGTTGTAAATATCTCGAGCATCATTTCAGCAAAATTCTGAATGATATTATATTTATTCTGTGAGCTCCACTTATACAACCTCACGACGAAATTTGTTTTATTCAAGAAAAACATGAATATAGTAGTATTTGTCTAATATGAGTCTGAATGTAAATGTAATTTTCACACTCAAGTATAGCATTAGCATCCAAAAATAAACCATGAATTCTTTTTCACTGAAAATGTTAATACAAGGAATGATTATGCTATTGAAATAGTTCATTGTATTATAAATTTCGACTCAAATTAGAATTAGAACTATTAAAAGAGTACATGGTATGGCAAAATTTAATAGATACAATTTGATAACCCTTAAACTATTACAAGATCTTATCGATCAAAGTTTTGATGCTTTTTTCTAGCAAAGTACACCGTCGTAGTAGAATTATAAATCTGCCACGCTCTTCGATCTCATTTTCAATAGCATAGAGAAGTAAAACATAAAACTCTGTATGATTTTGTGTACTTGTTTTGTTTTTTGCTGAAGCCAAGCAAAAATTTTGATGGACTACATAGTCTTAGAGAATCTATCAACATTGGACATTTCAAATTAATATGGATGGATGTGATTGTACCTGTAGATCTTTGTTTTGACTTAAGAAAAAATAAATAAATAGACGATGTTTGGCGAGCACCTTCTATTTGGTGATTAAAATAAAGATTTTTTTTTTTTTTGTGATATCTATATCATATTTGAACTAAATCAACTGATGTTTTTGTTGATCATAGAAGCAAATTGCAAGCTTTTATTCATAAATCATGAACTTAATTCTTGACATATTTCATTTATTTTTGAGTTGATAATAAAGGGTGATCGAAAAAACGTAAAAATAATAAAATATTGAGAAAATTATGTCGAATCCAATGATATCTCAAGATGAATTAGATATTTATAGTATACTTATTTAAATTGGTCGATAATCCAATTTCGATAAATTTTGACTAATATTTCCCTATTTCGCTGTTTTTCTTTTCATACTTTTCTTTTCAATATGTTTCTTATCAAACTTTTCTTTTCAATATGTTTCTTATCAAACTTTTACTTTTCGAAAATATTTTTATTCTATCCAATGTAGTGGATACCTATCGTCGAACTAGGAAATAACTCAAAAATATATTTTCATAATATAGAATTTGTAAATTTATTCAGGATTTAGTTATTCAATAGCAAGATGATTGCAATATGTCTAGTTAATAAACTAGGATATCTAGTTAATGGAAACTACATGGAAATATAAAATATTGTATTGCTTGTGATTATTTTTGAAGTGAAAATTAATTATTGTAAATATTATCTAGAAACATAAAAAAATTTGGTTTTTCGATATCAAGCCATCGCAAAAACAATATTCTCCATCATACAAACCTACATATCTTGCTTGTCGTTGAGAGTAGATACGCGAATATTTAGGGTAATATTCTTGTCACTTCAATAAAAATAGATTTTACTTTTTTCTTGTTTTGTTCACACTTTCATTATGTCCATTGTAACCATAATAAAAATTGTCGAACTGGCAAAGTCTATGTTGTCTTTTTCGTTCTTGTCAATATAAGAGAAAAGTCTCAAGTGATTGCATAGATGAAAAGCAAATGTAAGTTGGACAGAATAATAATGCAGTTAATAATGTTGTTGCAATTTTTCTCTTTCGTTTGTTGTTGACAACCATATTTTCAGTTGAAACTACGTAGAGTTTGTCCATGAGTGTCAACAAAGAAAAGAAAAGCTGACATCACACTTATAAATAGACAACGCAGTATCTATCATAATAACAATTTAGTTTTAACAAAACATGATTACCAGGCAAGCAATAAAAATGGCATCGAAAAATGGTTCAATCTCAAAGGCAGCGTATGGGGTCGATTGGAAACCATGTAATGAGTTTTTTAGTCATTTTGGACCCCTCTTGGTATAAAGTTTGTTAACGTAAAGGTATGTTTAATATGGAATCATTTTTCAAGTTTCTCCAGCAATAAAACATGAAAATAGATGTTGATTGGTGTAGGTGTGGTGGGCGTGGTGTGTGAGTATGGGTGGAGTGTGGGTGTGGATGGGTGTAGGTGTGGGTGTCGGCGTGCGTGTGGGTGGCTGTAGCTACGGGTGAGGATGTGACTGTGAATTCAGACAAGAATCACTTTCTACCCACACCCACACCCACACTCATAACCACACCAACACCCTTGGATAGGAATAGGGACAAATAGAAGAAAGAAAAAAGAAAAAATCATCGTGAACCCCACTTCCGTGTACGATCCGACTCTTGGAGCTCGAAATCTCAAAAAGAAAACTGTTTGTTTAGTGAAAAAAGGCAAAGACCAGTTCGAATAACGAGCTTGGCTACCAATCTGAACCTTTTTCTGACAATCTATTTGAGTTCAGCGATTTCGTTATCGATAGTCTTCACATGCGACTGAGAATTTTTGATACTCTCTTAAGCGATATTCTTGCTGAAGCTTTACGAATAGGAGAATATGAACCTAGGCAGACAAAAATATTAAAAGAAAAATTTGAAAATCTCAACGACCACGCTAACGATACAATTGGGAAGCGGTTTTTCTTCAAAATTGAAGTAGAGAGTAATGCAAAAACGATTACATCTTGTGGTCGTTTTTCAGGTCATCTGCAGGAAGTTTTCTTTTCTACCTCATTTCCTTATGAACAACGGATTCAAAATGAAAGAATTTGTAAAAATGCAAAAAGCTTGATTCAAAAATTTAAACTGATCATTGAGCTCGTCAAGACAAAGAAAGAAATGAGAACCGATGTTTTGGCTGATGTTGCTAAATCTTTCGTGAAAGAGTGTCGTCAATCAGGCTTGCGCACGATGTGTACGCCGAATGTGCGTTTGCTTGGTAGTCATTTAGCTGAACAAGATAAAAATGAAAGCCTACCATCGTATGACATACAAGGAGTCGAGAAATCGAATGATCTTCTCTCCTTTCTCTGCTTTTCATCCAGTAACAGAGCTAAAAAACATTAAGAACAATGATACGAATCTTTTATCGTCGACTTGAAATGAATTTTCCAGATCCAAGTGATCGCATTGCCATGGGTCGATATGCTCATACAGGAGCGTTGAGTGAGGCTGATATCGAGGCGGATGATCATTTCGTTGAGAACTCAAGTTCTTCTTTCAATCTAGATGGATTGAATGAATGGGCATCTAATGACACTGAACCTGAAGGAAAAAAATATTGATGAAAAAAATGAAGAATGTGATCAGGTACCATGCTTTATGTCACAAAATACTTACCAAGTGAAACCAAGGAAAAATCATTGGAAGAGTTTTAAGACCAAATAGACTTATCCAATCAGTACAATATTTCATATCGTAATCATATACCCTCCGTAATTGCCGGTATGTAGGAATTTATTCGCACCTGATTATGCAGTCTTATCAATCTATTTTTTAATAATCAAACTCTATTTCAATTGGGTACCCATCGGGTATACCCCAGTTACATATTATTTGACATCGGCACATTTATCGATAAAATATATAGCTACGGATATGAAGAGTCTCTTTAATTTTCCTGTTATACAGGAAAATCCTTCTACAGAGTATCCTTGATCAGATCAAATATTTTTTATTTTGCGTCAAGTAAAATATCTATTTTACTCAAAATGTTTACATAAACGTTATTTTTTACTTTTATTATTTGCTTGCTTAGACTTTTTCAAGTCTGAACCTATTTTTCGCTTTTATTTTCCTGTTGATCAAAATGAATAGTCAGCTTTGCTTCAAGAGCCTATACGAATCGTGTGTATGTCAAGTACAAACCCATTTAACAATAAACACACATATTATTCATGCTCATTGTCACTTGGACGACTTCTCGAACAAATATCCTTCTTTTTCAATCTGCCTCCCCCTCAAACATCCGAAAAATTTTCATGATATCGAACAAACATAAGTTTCAAAATTGGAACAATGTTTTTCCAATATCTTATCGCAATGTTCATATTTTTGAAACATTTGGTATGCATCCAAAGTTTCTTAATGAACGGAACCTTTATCCACGGCTTAGTCATCTAAAAAATATCCTTTAAAATAGAGAATTTTCAATATCAGGACGACAAGTTGTCGGTGTTGGTGAAACTGGTCTCGATGAAACCAGCTCATTTTCACAGAGCGGATCAGAAAATTGCATCCGAGGAACAGGTCCTTATAGCTCGTCATACAGGTCTGCCTCTTATTCTTCATTGTCGTGGATATTCTTTTTTTCGTGCAATACTAGATTATATAAATTCAGTTCTACCTTCTTCACATCCAGTTCGATGGCATTGTATTAAATCCGATAGTGATCTTCAAGCTATCGATAGTTTTATTTGGACTTTCCACAATTCTGTTGTCTCTCTCAATGAAGTGAGCACGCAAATCAAAGACAATGACCAAGATAAAACATATAAAAAATGGCTTAGGAATCATCCCGATTTGCTCGTCCATCTCGTGTTGAAGACAGACTGTCCGTGACTTTGTCTTGCAGGTCTCCCATTGCATGAGTATAATTCTGCCACGGGGATTTTTTATTACTTCCAAATGGATAGAGAATGTGTTGCGTCGTCAAGGTGAAAATGCATCAAATATAATGCGTATTGCGAATGACAAGGCAAAAAAAAATATTTTATTTGAAAATCTGAATAAGTAATCCTGTCATTCTCAAAGCAAAGTTATCCATAGCTAAGAGAAGATCAATGTAAATAATGTGCATATTGTAGAACAAATAGAAAAGATTAAAAAACGCTTTTCTTGGCATATCTTCCTTCAGGCTGAATGTCGGAGAAGTAAAAACAAATTATGTTGACAAATCTGTTTTTTTCTTTCATCTCTTCCCTCCTTCTTTTTCTCCGTTGATTTTTCCTCTGTCACATAAATGAAAACAAACGTGTGTAAATTACAATGAAAAATTAATAGAAACAAACTATGGGATGAAAATAACTTTTATTATTAAACAATATTTTTTTGCTTTTGTTCATTTTGCTTTGCATGTATGTATAGTTCTTTTTCTTTTTTTATTACTTGTCTGGGTTCAGTAAAATGTTTACTCATGCCGGATGCAAACTGGAAAAAACTGACAGTGACCCCTTTTTTTCCGATTGTCATAAGATTCCGTGCAATTGAATTCAGATCGAATCAAATGTCTATATTTGATTGAGTTGATCCCTTGTGTTCAATGATCCTGAAAGGGGCCAGTAATGTCGTCGAATATAATATCAGTAGAAAGAAAGCTTCGGAGAAAACACATTTTAAATATAAATATTTTCTCTTTATTGATTTTAGCGTTACATGGATCAACATTTATTATTTAAATCTTATTAAATTAAGAAAACGTTGATAATTTGACATTCTAACATTTTACATAATTAGTATTGTACACAAGAGGGAGAAAGCGAGACTTCCGTACTTCGAAGTACCGAGGGAGTACGAGGGAGTACGGGGAAGTACCGAGGGAGTATCGAGGGAGTACCGAGGAAGTATCGAGGAAGTATCGAGAGAGTACTAGGAAGTATCAGGGAGTACAAGGGAGTATTGAGGGAGTACAGGGAAGTATTAGGAGAGTACGATGAAGTATGTCAAACTCTAAATCGTTTTTCATATCAGTATCATGGCTTTCCTTTAAGCATAACATTTTTTAAAATTATGGCATACACATGCAACAAGGGTTTTTTGAAAACAATATTCTATCAAACTATAGATGTTGATATTTTTCATTCTGCTAATCATATCCATTATTAGAATCTACCGATAACGATTGGATATAAAAGTGTTGCACAATCTCGCTTTAAACAATCGAGGCTGTCGTACAACTTCTTTGCAAATATAATCTTTCAGTGACTATATTTTATGTACAGAATTAATTGGGAAAATATGTTATGAATCCATTTTTTTCTAAAATAGTTCAACTATTTCAATAAAAACAATCAACGAATCTGATTTAAATGATGCAAAATGATAGGTATGTTAAGTGAAATGAGTGAAAACAACATCAATAATGAATTGATCATGTATAATATATTTCGAAAAATCTCAAAATCAAGTGCATCATTTTTTTTTCAAAGAAGATAATACAGAATACAATATAACATCTCACGTCATAAATTAGCAGGTGGAAAATATTTAATTGATATACTGCCGCATATTGCTATTGAATGTACAAGCATATTTTCAAAATTTCCAAAATAGTTTTCAATAACTTGTGAAATTATCACTAACTGAGAGAATTGTCAATGGTCAAACTCATTTTTCTACTTAGTTATAAGTAAAGGATACAAAGTCTTTATTATTTGTCGAAAGTAAATAATCATCTTTTAACGAGTTGCAATCATTAAGTTCAACTTTTCAGTCAAACAGGTAGAGTTCAAATATGGTGGTACAACTGTTTTCATCTAGCCAATATCCATCAATCATACATAATCGTGCGACATCTGAACGTATTCGCAACTTTCTTGAATTCAATTGCTTATGCAACTTTCTTGAATTCAATTGCTTATGCAACTGTCGAATGGATCTTCTATCCGACGGTAACGGTTTTTTGACATATAATTGATATACAAAAATAAGAAATAAAAAAAATAACTAGTGAATTATCAATTCTTATATTGATTTACATTTTGATTAAATTACAAAATTGTTGTTTTTTCACTTGTTACATTTTATTTAATTGAATAATGGATAATATTGATATTGAAATTGATCAATTAATCGACCTATCAAATGAACGTTTTTTTTGAACATATTGAAGAACGATATGGAATAGCTGTTGCAAAAATCTTAAAATATCATGATATTGATCGTTATAAAATTCTTAGTCAGGTTGATGAACATCAATTAATCAATTTCTTTGAAAAACCTAATGATGAACATTCTATAAGTGAATTAGCTAATTTGAAAAACGAGATTTGTAATATATCTCAAGAATCTATAACTTTAAAAGTTGAAACAAAAGCTAAACTCGTGTCTTTGTTAAAATCAGCTCAATTTATTGTCAAAAAGAAAAAATTTCAAGTATTATCTCAAGCACGATCAAACCGACTTGATAATCATCGATCATCCTTATCATCAACTGATAACAATGGTACTGATAGTGAAGTTAGTAAAGAAAATTATCGCTTGTCAATAGAAGAATCTATTGAAAAATTATTGAAAAATATTAATTNCCACCCACACCCCCCACCCCCCCCCACACCCCACACCCCCCCCCACACCCACACCCACACCCTCACCCACACCCACACCCACACCCTCATCATTTAGATGTAACGATTGAAGCCTGATTCCAATGGCATTATCATAATTGATACCAATTCCTATAATGGCACGAGCCCGAATACCGTTAGTGCTAGAATGTGTATTCGATCTTAAAATGGGAGTATACGCCTGAAAATTTACATATTTTACTGATCCGCTGAAGTGTGAGCGTATCTTCTATGTATGTGAAGAAATTAATTGACCATAAATAGCGTACGATCATCGGTTTCTTTTGGTTCTTACACATGCTATAGGTCGGCATTCGATTCCTACTGTTGAACAACGATGAGGATAAGGACTATGTATGTTGGGCCTACTCCGAATGTGCATGGCTATGTGTATGGGTGTGGATGTGAGTGGGGTGTGGGATGTGCGTGTGAGAGTGGGTGTAGGTCTGGGTGTGTGGTTGTGGTTGTGGTGATTGGACCTCATACGCGCACGCCGAAAACCATATCCACCCACACCGACACCCACACCCATTCTACATTCACACCCACAACATTCTCAATACTTAGCTCGAAGGACCACACAACTGATAAACACTCGAGCAGGGGGAAAAGTTTTTCTTTTTCCTAAGTTAGAAACATTTCTCGTTGTTTAATACTATAACATCTTACCAATTGAAACAAATCAATTCCGTTGAGAGTGGTTTCTTTTCAGTACATCAGTTTATTAAAATTATTGTTCGCGATAATGATGAGATGTGGCAATAATGTAGTGCTTTTTCTGACTCAATTAAGTTCGAGAAAATAATAAGATAGTGCCCAAGTCAAACTGTTAGTCATTCTAACAGAATTCATTCATATCTCAATCGAATAGTTTGATGGACTCGAATCACATTGCATAGAAATTGATGGAAAGAAACTCATACTATTAAATCTGATATTAAAATATTCCACACATGCTGGTCTATATCGCCAAGATATTTCAAGAGAGATCACAGGTTTCAAAGCTGAATCGAAAAAGAAATACGTATTCGAATAATTGTTTTGATATCCGGAATCTCTACAAGTAAAGAACATCGTTGATTTTTTCCTTTCATAAATCATCTAATGTGAATCTATTTCAAGTGCTAAAACTTTTTATCAATACATTATTCTTTGATCAATATATCATGTAACTTGTCTTTTCATTAAGAGGACTACCAAGTTGAAGTTATAAGAAAGAATACTGATTTTCTTGCATCAATGAAATTCAATAGTGACTCCGACATGTTTAGGTATAAGAGTTAGTTTCTGAATAAATCCACCTGAATTTACTTCAGGGCCACCATCACCAATTGTTATTTGTTGTAACATACGAGCTATAATTACTTTTAGTTCGAATAGAGCTAATTCTCGTCCAAGACATTGACGATGACCACCTCCGAATGGTAGAAATGCATATGGATGATGATTTTTATCTTCATTAAGAAATCTTTCTGGATAGAATAATTCAGGATCGATTTTCCAATGACGCCTATCTCGAGCGAGAGAGGATGTTGGAATCAGTACTTGGTCACCTTTGTAAAGTCGAGTACCACTTTTAGGAAGACAGTCGTCGACAGTGACTGAACGACATGTTGAGTCAATCGTTGGAGAATAACGAAGTACTTCATTGATAAAACAATCCAAATAAGGGATAATTTACAAATAATGCGTTCATTGTTGTAATTCATACTCATGTTTTATCTCTCATAATATCAAAGACCCTTGCTTACCAACTCTTTTTTTAATTCATCGGGGATATTTCTGGATGTGTGTTCATTTTGCATCGAAAAATAATTGTGAACTATCTTTGATAGACAGATTATTTCTAAGAAAATCTATAGACCAAGTGCAGACAAAATTGTGATTAGAGTATTTAAATTGTAGGCGTGAAAAAAACAAAATTTCATGACGACCCTATTTCGATTGAGCTGATGAAGAATTAGGTGAGTTCTATATTTTAATATCGTTATTTTTCATGTAAAAAACCAAACATTCTAATTTGTTTCCAATAATTCGAATTCTTACACGCTAACAGTCTATCAATTGAACTTTTCATGATATGAATGCGTTGATAGACAATGAAGAATTAAACAAAAGCTATTATTCAGATATTCAGATTCATGTATAAAATCAATTTTAATGTCACAAATGTCATTAGGACCTGATTATTTTAGCATATAATATAATGATTGAAGGAGTGAATCAATCGGCATACAGTCATACTAAGAGAAATCATTGCGATCTTGTTTTATGGTACTAGAGTTTTTCTCAGCTACTAGAAAACGCTAAAAGAATGAACGAAAAGTAACTTCTCCGAATGAATATTTGCGTAAACTATTTATCGGACTAATGGTAATTTCGGCATAAACTGTCACTAGAGAATAGAAGCTATTATTATTTTATCAAGTAATTGCAAACTGATCATTGACTGTTGCTTACTAAAGTAACTGTATGAATCATATTAATTCTTCATCATTAAATGTTACCATAGCATGATGTAGTCATATCAATAAATGTAAATATAAATTCTCGAGAGTATCATCTACTTGAGAGTTCATTCATTCTTTTGTGATTGATGATATCATTTTTGAAAAGCTATTAAATGAGGGAATCAAGATAATCCAATGATAAATGTTGACCACGATTATTCTCCGTTAGTTCTGCCTTGATTTTTTGCTGAACTCTTGGCTGTTTACTTAGATGATAAATAGACCAAGCAAGAGCAGTAGATGTCGTTTCATAACCAGCAATCAAAAGCGTGAGTACTTCATCAAAAACTTCCTTTCGTGAAAGACCTATCAATAAAAGAATAGTAGAAATCAAACCGCATGACTTCAATATGTAGTAAAGGTAGAGATCGCTGCAAAGTAGACAAGTGTAACAAAACTTACATTAGATATATTGACCAGGACAATATATATCTATATATTATTAGGAAGAATTCAAGTTCATTCATGGAAAATTATGCAATCTTTTCATACTCTCATTGAAAATCCTTCGTAGATGAAATCTAAAGAAAATCTACAAGATTATTCGATGAATAATAGTTTTGACTTTTGATCTGTTTGATTTCAGCAACTAAAAGATAACAAATGTTTATCTGTTTTTGGATGCGCAATTGTGTACAGTCTAACAAAATCTAATCATATGCAAATAGAAGCAAGAACGACCAAGAGTGTGGGTGTGAAAGTAGTAAGTTCCACATTCCACATTCCACTTCTATAAGTCATACCCACATCTTCGGTAGTGGTGGCATTTATGAACAAGTTTTTTATGAAAAGCTTATCAGCGCAGCCCATTTGGGGCTAAAATGTGGAACTCACATATGCTCTCTAGCCTGATTAAACTAATACAAAAAATAGTAAAATGAAAAATCTCTCGTAAGCTATAATTGTTTTGCAGGATAATCAATCATTGAAGTAAAAACTTCTCTAATTTCTGCGTTTCGAACACATTTTTATAATTTTTTTTCTATGGGCGTCCAATTTTTTGTTTTCATTGTTGCTATTCGCTCATTATTTTTCATTTTTTTAAATTCGTTTTTCTTAATTTATCATTCTTATTATTAGAATCATTGAATTGATTGACAAATGAGCGTGTTTCACAGATCTATGATATCTGCAGCAGATCTTGCACACTATCATATATATTAATCAAGTCACAAATAATGATATTCATCATTTTTCAGAATTATAACTTGATCAATTTTCCAAAAAAAATTATGGAAAGTCTTACACCTTTTTTGTTGATTGCTAAGGTCTGTAATGGGGGGGGGGTTCCGTTGCTATGGCCTGTAATGGTGGGGGCCTATGGGGGGATGAGGGGTGGGGGGAGCCGCAAAACCTCGATTTAAAACTTACACTCACTATTTTCTTCGAAAATATATGTGAGTTCCACAAAAGTATCAACTAGTCAAGTTCATACTTTTCAGATAGATAAGTGAGAAGTTTAGGAAACAAACAGATTAGAAGAAAACTTGCTTCGAAGGGCTCCATATTGCTATCCCTATCACTAAAATATGGCTCTTGTCACTAAAACAGTAGCGTATTACTTTCTCTTTTGACGTTTTCGAACTGTTATTTCATTTAGTGGCCTATTCCGAAGATCTCAGCTCTATTAACAATCAGACAGAAAAGTTCATGTCTTCGTCATGCTATAGATATCATGCTAGTGTAGCAAAGACACAAAATGCTGTGAGAAACATGTGTATGAGCATTTGTTCTGTAGAATTTTAGTGCAAAACAACTTTGCCCATAACAAAAACTCAATAGATCTTGAAATTTTCGATTCATAAATCAGTCGATGGCGTTTAGAAGACACGAAAAATGTAGCTGCATCATAAAAGAGGTGTTATCTTTCCAAAAAGAAAATTCAGCATGCAAATACACGACAAATTATTAGAAACGATGAATCAAATCAGGGTTGTAACGAATCAATTTTACCTCTTTTATCTTCCTCTTTTTTTTTTGCTTCAGCTTTTTCATCGGGTTGTAATGAATTAACAAGTGATGCGATTAAAGAAGTTTTCTTTCGTTGTGCTCTCGAATCTGGACTTTCAGCCAACTCTTGTTCGATCATTTTATTAAAATGTCGTTCGACTGTTGCTCTTGCTCGTTGAAATCGAGTATTCAACTTCATATAGATAATTGATACAAAACTAGGTGCATATAGAGCCATTTTAAATGTACTCATCATATCGAGTAGGGCTTTGGTCAGTTCGTTATTATTGCTGGAATATTTACTATCAACTGTCTCCAAATTATAATCAAAAGCAATTAATCCAAATATTTCAAGAAGAAGATTTTGACACTGTTCAACAACATCTGTATTCACCTGATCATGTGGTCTAGCACGCCATCTATCTAATAGTTTGTCAGTACCATCAACAACTGTGTTAATATTCGAAATAATTTTGCTACGACGAAATAACGGCATAGTAAGAGCACCGTGTCGTTTGAATTTGAAACCTAGCAACAAAAATGAATAAATATTTGTTATTACTAGTGTAATAAGCGATACCTATGTTACAAATGATACTCTCAGGAACAAAAAGGCTAAATTTTTCTAAAAATACTTGCCCTTGATCGTAAATATTTCGATGCGTAAGAACGTACTGAACATCATCAATATCATGGACAGCAATGAAACGCATAAAACCAAGCCAATATTGATAAGTATCACCGAAACGTTCCTTGAACGATATACAGACATCAGATGCTGATCTCTTGCCTAATAATAAACCCGATTGAATAAGGTTTCCAAAAATGAAATGTGGAGACAAGCCAGGTATTGGACCACGAAGTGTAAAATATTTCAATTTAATATAAACCATCAATATAATAACGGAAAAAAACAACAGAAGAGTCACCATTATAACAACGCGCTGAATAAAAAAAGTGGCAATCGTGAGTGCCTGATGATAAATATTAATGCCTATCTGCACATGTCACCTTTCTTTCTTTCGTTTTCTGCTGTTTTGCCGTCCTCGTGTGACGCATAGAGTCCATACTACCATGCAAAAGGACATAGAATCACATGTGATATCTATGAATAAGTACGAATAGGTTTTTTTCCGCAAATCTTGGGTGATTTTGTTGAGTAACGTCTGTACTTTGCTCATTCCAATCAGTTGCATCTAAACCATAGAAGTATTATTCTCACAAAGCTAGTCTGTTTTAAAGAGAAGCAAGAACATTTCATTCACAAAAAAACTATACTGTAGAAAGACTTCTTGTAAAACATGTGATTGGTGTATATTGTGATCAATCGACCGATTACTGATGTCAGCACAAATATATATATCATTATAAAGATAGTGACATATGTATTTAAATATACTCAATTAATGTCAAATGATTCTCGCGATAAAGAGTTTCAAATTCGTCATTCGACTTCAATTCAGTGAAATGTATTTTTATCAATAATAGAAAAATGCTCTAACTGTTTTCGCATCTAACAAAATTGAATAAATACTTTATGATTTCAGTATCATTCGATTTGGCTGGAGAAAGTAACATTTTCATAGGTTTTCAAAGTTTTATTTATCATTCAGTTCCAATAACACCAGTATAGCTTTCGATACCGCTGAACTTTCCATGATAGTATGACTCATCTCAAGCATTGTCATTCACTTTAAAATAGCAATTTCAACCCATTAAAACTTATTCCTCTGTTCTTGGCAGGTAACCATCCTTTAGTAGTAATAAAGGGTATGCGATGCCATCTCTTTTCTACATACTGCGCAGCACCTACTCCTAAGTGAGGCGCACTGATATCAATAGAAATTGCAGTGAAAACTGCTGTTACAGCACTGCATTATTCAAAACGTGTGATCCACAGATTTCACATCAACAAGTTATAAGAGTCGTGACCGTTTGAGCCAAAAGTTCAGTATCATATAATCGATAAAATACGTATTAATCATGCCGATTTCTATATGAAAACAGCGATCTCATGCATTTAGAAGGTCAGGAATTCGAATACAAAATGAGATTTGGGGCATGACTGTGACTATGTGGGTACGGAAGAAGAAGCTTCACACACACCCACACCCACACTCACACCATCGCAGTGTAGTATCTGTTCTCGTTGGTGTGAAAGACATTGTTCTTTTCATATTTACGCGTTCATGTACAAATTGTTTGAAATTACTTCTGTTTCCTTCAGGATACGTGAACGCCATTTATATTTCCAATTAACATGAAATCATCTGTTCTACATAGGTACACCGGTCGAGATGGAAGTTGCATCGGTGAAAATATTCTTTTTATGGTCAACTCATCGGCAAAATATTGAACTTAAAAATCGAGAATTCATGTACATAGAGATCTATTGTAGACATCAAGCAAAATCTAATTTTTCTTGCTTAGTAGTGGATGGGTGCATTGAAGACGTCATTGATGAATTTGAATCGATTATAATAAGAACATAGAACCAAAAGATTAATATTTAGGACATCATCGAAAACCAACTGTACTATACTACGTAATGTCTCAGTTATCATTGAAATTGAAATCTTCTGTAGATGAATGATGATATATCCCCTTGGCCAGAAATAGTTAGACTCGGTATTTTGAATAAATTATCAGTATAAATCAACATTTTGGAGAAAGTAATTATAGATTCTGATAGCCCATCAAATTCTCTATAAATATCTTTTGAATTGCGTTTGTTCTCGGAAAAAAAATTCAAGCTCAACAAAGGCACCCTCATCGTTAGATTTCCGAGAAATGCATTTTTTGTTTCTTTATCTACTTGTATTTCAAATTTATTTTGAATATAGGAACATATTATTACAAAAGTAAGTATGTATTCTGAAAGCGCGTGAAATTCTCTATCATCCTATATGTTTATGTCTTGTCTTTCATGTATTTGTTGCAACAAATAAATGCAAAACAAGACATAAATACATAGGATGATAGAGAATTTCACGCTCTTTCAGAATACATACTTACTTTTGTAATAACATGTTCCTATATTCAAAATAAATTTGAAATAGATGAAGAAACAAAAAATGCACTTCTGGGGAATCTAACGATGAGGGTGCCTTTGTTGAGCTTGAATTTTTTTTCCGAGAACAAACGCAATTCAAAAGATGTTTATAGAGATTTGTAGAGGATTTGATGGGTTATCAGAATCTATAATTACTTTCTCCAAAATGTTGATTTATAGTGATAATTTATTCAAAATACCGAGTCTAACTATTTCTGGCCAGGGGGATATATTTAAACGTATCGAATATTTGATTGGATATGTTTTAATTTTTTTCATGATTAGAATGTTTCCTTCCACATTTATATTGTCTCGAAAGAGAGACTAGTAATACATATGAAGAACGGTTGCACGTGTATATGTTGACTACTGTACGTGCATCTATGTAAAATCATCAATTGACATATATAGCTATTCTCATTTATAATTTCATAAAGACATGCATGGTCCACTGTTAGATTAATGTTTCAACCTAGTTGCAGTGCGTTTTTCAGTAAGCTGTTCTTAAGTTTCATTTATGTTTGGGAAGTTTAATCCTTTTCTATGTTATACTTATGCATAGATATTGCTGCAAATATTCACCAGCAAGCAGAATGCGAATGGCAGTCAAGAGCAACAAATAACTCTTCTATTTGCAAAGAACATAGCATACATAATAAAACAACGTTTTCTCCAAAGTTAAAACCCGTTCGAAAATCCTTTCGAAAATCCCTGAAGACATGCGAAACGGTTTCTTGAATTCACGATAGGTTTCTGAAAATAGCTTCTGAGTTTCCGGATGCTTCGAAATCTATGGATTTTCAAAACATAGGTCTGGAAACCCTCAACCGTATTCTCAAAAACCTTGGTGCAATTTCCGAAAACCGCTTGTGATTTAAAAACCTTCTCAAAAACGTTTTTGAATTTCTGGGCACCAGAAACGGTGGAAACGTTTCCAAAAAATCAAGCATGGTTTCCGAATATATCTCAGAAATCTTGAAGGGTTTCCGAATCTTCAGAAAACCCTTGCACTTCCGAGAAAAAGTTTCGCAAACCATCCAGTATTGTGAATCACAGAAATAGCATTCCGATATCTTCTTTTTGATTTTCATATTCTCATCGTTATTTGAGAGGCTTAGGGATTGCTCGACATGCATGATATAAATCTTATTCAATTTATCTGGCACTGTTTTGTAAAAAACAATAAAGCTCAGTGAATTCAAAAGAATTCTTTGTTTCCGAAAAAATCTCAAATCGTTTTTACATCTTTCAGTACCTACAAACTTGAATGGATTATAACAAATGTTATTGGGAGGATCGAAGATCTGCCCTAAATCGTCAGGTCATTAAAAGAATGTCATCTCTCTTCTTCTTCATTAATTTATGTTCAATTCAACTACAACCATTATCATCCTTATCAGCAGATTGCAACGGAAAATAGTGCAAGTTTCGGCCATATGAGGATGCTTTCATCCGATTTATAGAGAAGAGTATTCGGAGAAGAATGATCGAAAAAATAAAAAAATCTTCATTTACGAGAGAACGTAAAACAAATATCTGGTGTCTCGGAATGTTTGCAAAATAATTTATTCTCCATATATCTCCACGAATGTAAATGATAAAATCTTACATTTTTCAAAACATGCGTCCAGATATTCTGTCAATAGTCAAAAAAGAAAGATTTATCAGATATTGTAGTTTCTCACTTTGACATCGATGCCAATGCTTTAAAAAATACATTTATTATCTAAATCAAATCAAATGTACAAAAACTCATGTCTGAATACTATCATCTAGATAAAGTAAGCATCTTTATGGTAGAAAAAAAATGGAAAGAATAAAACGTCTGCGAAATGCGGTTGTTGTTTAGCTGAAGAAAAATACGAATTCTGGACAGTAAGAAACTATAGACTGTCATACACCTTTCTTTTTAGCTCGCTTCAAATCTATCAGCAAAAGTCACAAGAATCTTTACGTTCACGTATTGTACAGAATGACATAATGTAGTGTCTCACAAAAAAAGAAGCTGATGTTTTTAAGAATCGTCTTTTTGAATACGTAAACAAAGTAAAATATCTTATAAGTATTCTGAAAAAAAGGTAGATATTTATTTCTTCACAATGAAGGATATAATTTTGCTAAATGTTTAGATGAAAGGTGCGAAAAGGAAATGAGAAGAGGAGAAATAAAATGTAAAGGTTACNTTATGGAACATTCGTTATTTACATTTTACAGCTTTTTGTATATCTTTAGTTTTCGTCTTTTTTCAAATATACCTAAAACTATTTTTGAGCCTAGTCATCTATGGTTTTGTAGAGAATTTTAAGCGCTATCTTTTGATAATAATGAGAGCTTTACTTACAGTGATAATAGACAGGAAATCTTAAAAATACTGGGAGGCTCATTATTCCTGGGACACCCGATATTAATCACCTAAATTTAGCATTCAACCAAGAATGAAAGAAGTGCCAACATCCGAGACATCTATATGTGATCTCCTCCTTCTCGATGTCTGTCCACTTGGTCTTGGCATTGAAGATATTCATGGTCAAATGCACACACTTATTCGTCGTAATACAACAATTCCAACACGTACACAATTCTATTCATTGTTCACAAATGCTTATGCCTATCAAACAACAGCTACCATTCGTATATTTGAAGGCGAGCATAATCATACAAAACACAATGTGTGTAGTATCCGAAATTCAACATTTTTTTCGGTAGCTTTTTCTATTGTAGAGTCTCTTGGGCGAGTTTAGTCTTTCTGGCCTAACAAGCAATTATGCTGCTCAGACACTCGAAATCTCTATTCGCATGGATATTGATGCTAATGGTATACTTCGTGTCGATGCTGAAGAAGCACGTTCAGGTGCCAAAGCTTCCTTTACTGTCACACCCAATGGTCAACAAAGTACAATAATTATATAACTGTTTGATATCGTAATTAAATCCTATTTCTATTTATGTAGGATTGACAAGAGATGATATTGAACGACATATTACATATGTTAACAGTGACCCAAGCTTTGCAGCTAAATCACGTGAGTGTTGAAAGTGTAAATGGTATTTAATTATTGCTATTTTGTAGTTTATGATCGCAACTCAAATGATCCATTATACATGGTTTGTATTATGCCATATTTTCAGAGTTCGACTGCTTACTTTTCTGATCTTTTGCTAGCTCGATGGTCAAACTGAATCTCTAATACACAATTTTTCCGGTGAACCTGTCACTTCACGTAGTAATTTATTCATTATTGTTATTTATAACAATAGTATTTGAATTTAGGTCAAACGACTAGTGCTTCATTTCTCAGTAAACTGAGAGATGTTCAATCTACCACAACCATCATTGAAGAGCTTTTCAAACTTCAATCCAAAGTCGTACTGTTTTAGAATTTCATTAAACATTTATTGTTTTGTATTTAATTCGAATATAGGATGGTTCATTTACATTGAATAAAGACTTGGCTGATGTATTTCACATTGATTTTGATACTTTCAATGGTCTTGAAAACTACTTACGTGAACAAGGTTTTAACTCATTGGGTAACATTGAATGGTTTATTGTTAGCGTATAGAAATATGCGGATTTTGTTTTGTTAGCGTTGAATATACGAAATGAAATTCTTTGTTTGATCGGCACGGGCGTTATTCTTATTTGGCTTGTTCTTCAAACACAAGCGTCAAAACAGAATACATTTCAATTATTGTTTAACATCGAACAAATCAAGGTGAGCTGAATTTATTTTGACCCTCTCATTTTCTAGATTAGTCTCTTTATATCTCGAAGGTTCATCTTTTCAACCATTTACCTGCTAATATGAACGAACAAGTAAACAAAGCGATCGAATTCTATCAACGAACAAATCAACGTAATGGCATATATTGCAAACAGTTAGAATTGAGCGATTCATCATGGAACATGTTTATTCAACATGTACTTATTGGCATCGATCGAGCCGATAATTAAAAAATGCCTCAACAGTGACTTGCCTGCTTTTTCAAATATTTTTTCTTTTTACACTATTATTATCCTAATCATGAAACGCTTCAAGAAAAAAAAGAAAATTTGAAGATGTTCATATACTGATAAATTTCATGCAGTTGGAAGAATCTTACTTGAATTGTTTCGTCGTAACAGTAATGATTCATATCCTACGACTGAACTCGAAAATGGTTCTAGCACGTGGATGAGATATGAGTCGATCTTCTTTTAATTTTCACCCACTCATATCCTCACAAGTCAGGCTCAGTTACATATTGGTGTGGGTATGAATGTTTCTCTTCTCCTCGACCACACACATATATTGCACAAGACATTGTGCACAAGTTTGAGACAACAATTTATTGCTCTCATTATGAAACATTGTGAAATGACAGTTAGATATTTCGAAAAAAAAAAGTTTCACAATAGGCTGCAACTATAGTATTTGTTGCATCAATGATTCTCCAACGAGAATTGTAAAAAACTAGTATAATTCAGTTCAAACGATCTTGCTTAATTTTTTTATCTGTTACACAGAATTTTCCATACGTAATAAAATTCATTGTGATGTTCACATCTTTAATAAACCTCGAATATTAAATCAATAAGAATGAGCGGAAACATTCCTTCCTATGGAAACACGAGTTATTGAGATTTTAGAAAGTTTTTTTTTCTCTAAGGAATTCAAATCTATTCACATGAAATAAGAACTATAATTAATTACTGTTGTCAAGATCATATGGAATAAGAAAAGAAGTTACACAGTTTTATGAATTCTCATGAGATTTTGGAGATATTAACAATTAACACGACATATTTTCTTTGACCAAAGTAAGGGTGTGGGTGTAGGTGTAAGTGTGGGTGTAGGGGTAGGGGTATGGGTGTGCGGGTGTGGGATGTGGGATGTGGGATGTGGGTGCGGGTGTTACTTTTATTCGTACCATCATCCACACCTACACCCACACCATTACTAATGCATCGATTTGTCGAATTCGTTTCACATCTGGAATTCTAGCCAAGAAAGATTTCGACAAAGCACTATATTCCATTTTGACAAGTTCACTAGCTGGGCATCAGTGTGAAGTTCTTGTTCTTGTAATGACGTGGCGAATCTTCGTGAGTTACTCTGAGAAATTAAATCTAAAACATGTTTTACTAAAAGGCTATCATCATCGTGAACCAGCAAAGCTGTCCAGTGACTAGAGAGGATTGGTTGCTACTCACATATTTCATACTCAGTAATTCTCGATCCATTCGACTATGGATTGATCTATAAAGAAATAAAAGTTAATTGTTTGCAGCATAACTCATTATCCGGAAGACTGAAATGCTTCATGAATAGAAGCTAACATAATTCCTCACTTTCATGAACCCTTTATTTGTCCATTTCTTTTTTTCTCCGATGTGCGTTGACATATTTTAGACTATGTCTTAAAATAAATGAAATCAGACAAGACTTTTCAATGACAAAAAAATGAGAATCACAACCAGCATTAGCTGGCACTTGGAATTTGAACGGAAGTGTCATTTTAGGTATGTATTTTTTGGTATTCAAAGCTGAATATTTCTTCTTGAAAGGCATACTGTTTAACACGGCTCATACAGTTATATCGCGTCATGGAATGAATCGCTATAGGAAACAAAAAATTGGCGCATAGTTGTTGATGAGTAAACATCGAAAGTTTTTTTTATTTTTCTAAACTATTTTACTTTGTTCACATATGGTGGGAAGCGCTTGCCAGATTTTATCTGCAAGTATCCTTTTTATAATTGACATAAATCATGAAATAACTTGTTACACCAAAAACTCGAACCGACTACTAACTTTCCCTAACGTAATTAATGTGTAAGCTATGTGGCGTCAATTTTTAAACGAAACGAATGTAACAATGTCGGTTTGACCAATACTAAATAACCTAGTTCGGATGCAGATTTTTATGATTACCAGCGTCCATCAGCGCATCACGTTTGACAAAACCGTTGATCCACATACTTTCTAGTAAACAATAGTACGATATGAGAATAAATAAAACGCCAATTTCAAAGCCAAGGTAAGCATGTTTTTTTTAATTAAAACACCTTGCTCGATACTTTGTTGTCTAATTCGAAATTGAAAACTACGGTATGCCAATAGTTTGCTTCAAATTGAATTATAATCTATTAGTCATGAATAATCGTATTTCTGTTGTTTTAATGTAGGCGAATAATTGCAACTCCACAGGCAAGTGTATTCATCAATATTTATCTAAGCATATGGGCGAACTTGCATATTTATACCAACTAAAATGACACCATTTCATTTAAGAACAGTAAATACCTATATTGTCGTCGTCTATATTACGCATCGTAATGAGCAAGACCTTTCTTATAGTAAGTATAGTTTTTATAAGAAAAAGAAAGCAAACAATCTAATTTGAACGATATTTTTATAGTTGTGCCTGGTGTTTGGCATGGCAGAATCGTTAAATCTTTCTGAAATAGGATCAATGGACAACGCAATCAGCATGTTGTGTCATGCTATCGCAACAAGACCGGATGCAGCTGCTCTTATTGATGGATTGTATAAATCAATTAACGAACACCAACAACAAATACAGCAACGCTTCCTGAATACATACATGTATATTACTAAAAAGAGAAACCAAGACAATTTAAAAGCAGGAGGCGAAAGCTGCAAAAATTTCTTTGACGACTTGAAAACTCCGCTATCAACTGATTTACAAAGTAATCAGGAGTGGCTTCAATCCATATTACAAATCGTCAGTTATCGTATCAAAGATTTCATGAATATTATTCAACAGCAGATTGACTGAAAAACAACACTATCATGAATGAAAGTTAAATTTCTCTGTGTAGTGAACATTTGTGCCTTTCTTATTCCGATGCTTCATGGTTCTTTCAAAAAAAGACCGAATCTCCAAAATCTCTTAGATGGACTTATATTTTTAAGTGTTCCGTCGCAAAATATAAGGAGAGACTAGCTCTTATATTCAGTTTGTCATGTTGATTCAATATTTGCAAATCGTAACTGACTTGATATAGCATAAATGTTAGGAGACGTGGCCAGATTCCGTGAATTCTGAACTAGTGGAACTCTTCAAAATTATACCACGTTTACATGATGAGGATTGATGAGACCAGAGAAACCAAGGAACTGACGGAATTCTATGAACTTCGAAAATCCTCAAAACTTATAGGACCCATGTAATACACGAAATCCACAGAACTTGCGGAACTCTATGGACTCAAGGAATCCTAGGAATTCATGAAACCCCAGAGAACTCTCGGAACTCATGAGGCTTGTATGAAATAGACAACTTTGGAAACGCGTGCACCGTGTGTATGTCAGTAGGTTTTGATCCAATATTGATCCATACTTATATATGCGCGCATATAAACTGGCTAATATCGTATATCGATGCTCACAGAGACACACTCAAACAACTAAAGCTAGACCCATGCACATACCTACAACAACATCCACATTGCCACGGCTACATTCATAAAGACTGGCGCACTCTGAAAAAAAAGAAAATCTACAGAACCTTTTTATCTTCTAAAAGCTTCCGTGTTGTACTTGTCGGTGAAATCTCTGGAAAATGTTTCTAATATCTTTTCGAAGACCCTTTTTGTTGTACACAATCTTTTTGGAGGGATAACGTCGCTGAGTATAACACGCAATCTCTTATAGACTAGAAAGGTTCACTACACTCCTTTCATGATTATCAAAGTACCTATAACCACTTAGACATCACAACCACACGCTCGCGACTAGGCCGATGCCCATGCACTGTCAAGCAGCAAAGTGTGGGTACGGTTGAGGGTTTGGAGTGTGACACTCATTCTATTCTGCACTTAGACAAACACGAACGCCCTCCAACATCCACATCGCCATCTATGCCCACACCCACACTCACACCCGCTCACGCTAAATGATCAT